TGGCGATTGCTTATTTATTCTCCTCAGGGCTCACGTCTCACATTCAAATGATTGACTCATTTCATTCATTGCACATTTTCCGGCTCTATTTGATAAGCTCATCTCCCTCTGTCTTCCCGTTCACATGCTTAAACTTCTAATGTTACCTCGTCACATTTTTATCCGGATGAGCAGTAGTTTCTTGGGCTAATTATGTGTGCTGTAAAAAATAATGCCGCTTGTGTGATTGTGCTCATTCTGCTGGACTTGAGCGGCACAAAAGGGTGAGCATTAATGATGTAGTGGAATAGCTGAGAAGCCAATTGTGTACACAAAGCTGGCAGACGCGGTCAACAAGAAGCTTACGAGGGATTGTTGCATTGTGGGAGCGAGGACAAAATAAGCACCGGCAATTTGCATTTGGTTACAATTTACATCTGGTCGGAGACTGGGGACTTGTTGTTCTAATGAAAAAAACATAAACCCTTTGGTCCATTCATGTAATAAGGGGGGATTTTGACACCGAATGAGGCTTAAGACGTGGCAGCTGATTGGGGATTTAAGCAGTATTGTTACAGCGTTGTGCTTGTTCTTGTAATTTTGCAGAAGTCGATTTCATCTCTCGGAGGCCACCGCACATCCCATTGGCGGAAGAGACTCAGCGTTTTTTGTAAACAGGCAAGTTTACACAACAATAAATAACAAAACAAACGTTATTCTTGTCACATTTAGTAATTAAAACACTGATATAACCACTTTTATTGTATTTGATTGTATTATTTTATATGAATTCATTTTATCTTGTTGTCCAGGAAAGTCCCACTGAGATGACAGAATCTATTTTCAGGTAAGTGGGGTGGGGAGAAGCACCCCGGAGAAACCCGGAGCACCCGGAGGAAACCTTTGTGTCGGCCTGGAGGGAACATACAAACGTGTATAGCCCTTTCCACGGCTCCCAAAGAGGCTTCAAATGGCATTATTCGCTCACTCATACACTGTGGTGGTAAACTTCAACTATAGCCACACCTGCCCAGGAGCATACAGACACAAGCGAGGCAACCAGTCTGTGCCATCGGCCCCTCAAACCAACACCGATCCTCCACGCACACACAGGACTTGCAGCATTTTACTAAGAGGAAACATTTAAGTGCATTGACACATCTTTTGTTTATTGTAAACTGCTCCTTGATCTATTTGATTGCATTTGTTCTTTTAACACTGTCCTCTTCTGCTTTAGATGTGCGCTGACAGCCGACTTCTGAAAAAGTGGAAGAAACAACGTCGTTTCCAAGAAAACTATGCAAATCCACTGAGAATAGGAGATGGTTGCTTTTCCTGAATTGTTATCATCTCGTAAGCAAGTATCAAAGCAATTGTTGCAAAAGTAAAGTTTCCAGAGTTCACACAGTTGAATTATTTAATGATTATCTATTTTGATTGAAAAAAAAAAAAACATATCTAACATTTTATAGCTGCATATTTATATCTTCCCCGTGTATGGAGCAGGTCATGTTCCGTTTCTATTTCATGTAAATCGAGTGTATAATGAACCAAAATGAGCTGTGATCTTTGCCAGTTACAGCATACTTTATTTATAGAAATTAAAAAATAATACAGCAGAGTTTCTGTTTAAACCCCAGCACAGCCAAGAAAGGCCAAAATCTTAATGAATATGGGCAGATAGACAAGAAATAGCAGCCAAATAAAAGAATAATAAAGGCATGTGAACCCTAACAAGTGTGCCTTTGTTCTTCCACTCCACCCACCAGAAGTTGGCGGCGTGAAAGCAGCCAGTGTTGCAGCTTTGAGGGCAGCTCTGAGAGTTCCATGCCCATCGGCCTTCAATCACATGGGATGTCTGAGTTTGACAGTATAAAGTCTTTCTTCTACAACAAAATAAGACCCCTAAGCAATAGTGGATGAGCTCTTAGTAACCATGCAGTCCACAGGGAGGTAGACCAAGAATGGTATTACAGTATATACAATGTTAGTTAGGAGTGAGACAATGGAGAGCGTAGACCCTGGTGCGGGCTGCAGTTGCCAGTTTTGAGGGGATAAAAAGCTTAATGTATAATATATGATGAAGTTTTAGTATTGATTTTGGCTTAATGATGGTTTAAAAGTTCAATCTCATGTGTATTCAGTATTTATTTTTTTATTTTCATTTTTTATTATGAGAAATACAGATGAGATACAGAGTGGTTAGGGATAGAGCAAGGAATTATTTGTTTTCAACTGGAACCCCGAAGTAATATAGTAACAGATTAGTTGGACTGGAACATGATTATTCAAGGCTTCATGATGAATTTAAATTTTATGAAAACAGCTCATCTCCTTCATACCAAAACAATGTTAAGGTCATTTAATATTTTGACATTTCAGGGGAGGAAAAAAATACATGGATGCCCTGACCTCACGCAAGGAGATGATCTCTGACAATATTTATGAGTTCTCAAAACTCAGTTCAGTGCTGGACATACCCAATTAGGTGTTTGGCAGGTTAAGCCATACAGCCCATATTAAAGCTACGGAACCTACGTTTTGCCAGGATGCTGTTTGCATCTTATTTGAAAACATGATATTTGGTAAAATTTTAATAAAAATTCCTGTGAGTCACTACTAGACGCTTTGGGGTGAGAGCTGATTGGCTGCGTGAGGGTGGTCCAGTCTTTTTCACTTTTTTACCTAAAAAAAGCTTAGTATCCCTGGTTATTAGATAAATCAAAATGTCACTGTCACACCAACTGATCATTGAATATTCATTTTCATAAACATTCAAAAAAAAAACACTGAATCTCTGAGACTGTCCTTCACTAAGTTTCTCCAGATTGTGTTTTCTGTTCAGCTGAAGTGAAGTGGAATAGAGCAAGTTCCTAAGCCACTTCATCAGTGCAAGTAGTTATGAAGTGAAGGACAGCCAACCACAGGCATACATACACTGTGTCCTGTTTCCATCATGAACCACATGTGGGTTCAGAGCTGGTGAAGGTAAGGGACTGCACAAGAGGAGGGCAGGGGGGCCTGGTGGGGCTGCAACATTCAAAATTCAATCAAGTGAAGGCCGTCTCCAGCAGTGTAACAGGGAATACAAGGAGACCGAGACAGAAGAAGGAGGGGGGTCAGCTGAAGTTTCCATTGGGCCTGCTGCGCTCCTAATGCAGCCTTGGATGTAATTGGGTCCCAGAAGGCTGTTCATTATCGGGGGTGAGAGAGGCAACAAAACATAGAAGGGTGGAAAGAGAAAGTAAATGTCTTTCTTTGCCTCTGTCCCAGCACCATTATGGGACAGGAGTTAATTAAAAGAGCAGTTGATGCTTCTGTTTTTCTCATCAATCTCACTTGTGCTCTTATTAAGTTTGTAATGACAGCCGAGCTTGTTCCCCTCCTGCCACCGGTCGCTCAACAAAAGGGCAAGAATGAGAGCGGTGTGGGGGCACTTATTGTGAGGGACAGCTAATCTCCACAATGCTTGCAATGGTCAACGACTAACATTCAACAGGATCTCCTTATGAAATCCCATAGTGGCTATACCATGCAGTCGCATGAGGGCAGCTATACTGATGCTTCTATATTTAGGAGTTGCACAAGGGCTCATTTAAAAGGCGTGGCTTTGTAGCTTAATCCCACTGCTCCTATCGCCAGAACCTTCAGAGGCCATTTTAATTCCCTCCGTCATTAAGGCACCTTCCCTCGAAAGCTTTGGTAAAGGTGACTGCTGACACTGTCATTCACAAGGACTATTTCAAAATGTCAGCCCATAGCCGAGATTTGTCTCATTAAAATTGGCGGAGTCCATTATATGCGTCTCTCCTCTGCCTGCCATACTCAATCAAGGCAACTGGGGGAATGAGGGTGTCAAGGGAGCGTTCAGAATCATTTCTATTTGCATAAGCTTTACAGAGAAGCGCCCTGAGTCTGACCAACAAGAAAAGGAGAGTGCCAAAGACAAAAAACGTTGCCGCAGTGCATTTGAACAAAATCATAGCCAGGACAGGACAGCTCCTCTTTCTCCAAATTGATACCAGCTACTCAAAGAGGCTTGTGCAGAGAGACTTCAAGAAATGTCAGCGTAACCACGATGAAGCCAGTGGAAGACCATCCAGGCTTTTGTTCAACAGTCTTGTGACCTGAGGATTTACATACAGCTTCAATAAAGCCAGAAACAAGATCCACCCACATATTGCTTGGCTCCTCATCTAAAGCGTATCAACGTCTTTACAGCTGAAGGCTTTCAAATCCCTGGGATCGCTCATGTAGATGTGTGACATCTGTGCTGCCAGTGTCTGACTGAAGGAGGCAGGCTCAAGCTCTCGTTTTTTCACCATTTTATTTTGACTTAAACTTGCACCAACATCAGTAACAACGCAAACGGACATTTTGTATGTTGATGAATGAGACACAATGAAGACCAGTGGTGTGCTTTATATTTGCATTTGTTAGAGAAAATAAAATAAAAAAAACATAGTAGCTTAAGAAAAAATACATTGAAACTTTGGGATCAAATCGATAGAATTGTTCTTTGATTTGTGTTGTCTGTGGTTTTATCTGTCCCAGTGAACAGCGGCAAAACTATGCATGTGCGTGGACAAAGTGAAATGATTTTAACATGTGGATAAAAATAATCGACAGTCCTCAAATGCTAGAGAAGCTGGCCTATACTTTCATTTTCAACATTACAAAAAATACAATGTTGTCTGATCGTTCGTCAGTAAAAAAGGGAGGGATTATCTAGTTATCTTAAGTAAACCAGTGCCATTACTGTGCACGCTTGGAAACTAACATTATTCTACTGTATCTGCTGCTTTTTGTGAATAAAAACCACAAGGGAGGTATTTGACAAGCCTAGACTGGTCCTGACATTTTAATATTGTCGCTTATACAAGTTCACACTCTAGTGGCTGGTTATGAAATTGCAACTGATTTAACCACAAGAGCATTTGTAAAGCGGATGAGAAATTGTGGTTTGCCCTCATTTTCTTTTTTTCCTTTTCTCCATTTTGTTGCTTCAGTCCCAGGACGCTCTACAAACCGAAACGAGCAGGTGTTCTCCTCGGTGTCATTGGAGCTTCATCTTTTCTTCCGGGCGTGCAGATCTTCACGCCCCTAAAACAGAAACATACCAATTTAAAGGACTTCAGATGAATTGGAGGGTCTTGATGTGTTTTGTGTTTTTGTGTCCAAAGCGGTGGAGCTTTCGTGGCCCAGTGTCTTCAGAGAGTACTGTGATGGGAGCTTCTGACAGCACAATCTATCATCTTTAATTACAACTTTGCGACACACTGACACTAGCCACACTTCTCTTATTTCTCTGTCACACATTCACCACAGCAACAATTACAAGCATCAGGCCGTAGCCTCCTTCTGTCACCTCGTCCCGGTGCACCACTCACTCTGCAGGTGATGGTAACAGCAGTAGATATTGAGCTCGGGGAGGATGGCGACAGACAAAGAAATAAGCGTTTACAGAATATTCTGTGTTTTAAGGACTTAACCCTCTGGCCGTTCCTTGTGTGAAGGTAGGAGAGGCAGCTTTCTCCCGATGCTTCTTGTAAATAGCATTGGGAGAAAACTTGAATGGGCCAATGTTGAGCTCATGTAGGAGGCGTAAACTAAAGACTTTTTCTACATGTCTTTTGTATAATGACAATGATCGCAGATCTCTGTTGAGCTGCAGTTACTATATGAATGTGCTCCAAATGCTGAAATGCTTATACTACACGTTCTTCATCTTTAAATATTTGATTGAGAAAGCCTGAAGTCTATTATTATAAAACTATAGGTTGAAAGGCAGATTTTATGGACAATTATTGGCATTGGTCATCCACCCCATAGGTTATTAGTGCATTTCCTGTGTTTTAACTGTTTGATTGTCTGTGTTGGTGAAATGACAACTTTGTAAAGCCCTCTTTTGACGACTGCTGTTGTTTAGGGCTGTCCAAAAATGAATTGAATTGAATTGAATGTGCATGTATGAATGAAAAGATTTATTGATTGAATGAATGTTATTGCTTTCTTTTCTATCTAATTAAATCATATGCCATTGTTGCATTGAAGAGGATTACTTCCAACACATGAGTTACAATTAGGCAAAACATTTCTAACCAATTTTATTTTCTCTAAATTATAAACAAGTTATTATAAATTCTGTTTGATATGTATTTCCTGGAAACATAGGCAAGAAAGCAAGTTACTATGCGCTTAACCACATTTTTTTAGTAATATAAAACAATTGTCAGCTCAACAACTACAACAATTTTGAACTAAAAAACCTTTACTTATGTCCTATTAAATGGTTTGTATCAATTCAAAGACACATTGTCATTATTTTACCAAAAAGATTAGCCCCGGCCAACTTTCTAAATTCTTTTTCAAAAATCCAAGATGAAAAAATACAATACTTTTTTTATTTTGGGCAGCACAAGGTGTGCGGTCATGGTCGGCCAGAAACCTTGGCGTCACCAGGGACAGGGATTTTAAACTTGGCAATCAGGATTTTTATCATCTTCGTCTTTTATCTAGGATCAAGCCTTTTTTTATTTTTATCTTTTAAAACATTTGAAACAAAACGCTTTTATTTATCCACATCTGGACTGCTGTGATGTGGTTTACTCTGGGGTTTCACAAAATGCACTTTCACGTTTACAGTTAGTCCAGTCCTCTGCGGCATGGCTTTTAACAGAAACCCAAAAACGTGAGCACATTTCTCTGATTTTAGCTTCTTTGCATCCTTCTTTGAAACCTTGGGTTTCTGTTATTTTTAGAATTGATTTTAAGTTGGCCCCACAGTAACATCTCTGAACCATCCGCCCGCCGCGAGGTCCGAGGGCCAGCTGCAGCTTGTGGAGTCTCAGACGAGTCTTAAAACGGGGCCTTGTCTGTGGCTAGACCAAAGTTATGGAACATGTATCTACTTTTGTATATACTGTATACATTGTATTGTTTTCACTTATTTTCATATTTAGTATGTTAACGTTTTGTAACATATACAGATTCTCATTTGTTTCTCATTAAAAGGTATACACTGAATAACCACAGATGGACACCTCTGGCTGTGATGTTGAGGACCACACATTGGTCTGTTTTAATGCATTTCTTATTTATTTCATGGTGTGGGGTAACTTTCAGCCATCTGTCACCATTACGATTGCAGTCAACCAGATAAATCTGGTTAATTAACAGCTAAAGTCCCCCCTTTTTGAAATAAATCTTTATAACCATATTTCTGCCTATAAAGTCTTCAGATGTGTGTGAAATTAATTTTTTGGTCTTATTTGAAAATGAAGGTTCTCCGCCTTTCTCAGTTCTACTGTGGCACAATTTAAATTGCTGCAGTAATAGGGGTCAGCGAAGAGTCAATATTATTTCTTTTGTCACGTCTGCTGGGACCAAAGGTGAGAAAAGCTCATCATGAGCAGTGAGGGAGGTGTGGTGGAGCGAAAGCAGGAGGAGAGCTGGGGATATGGATCGGCAGTGAGGGAGGTGTGGTGGAGCGAAAGCAGGAGGAGAGCTGGGGATATGGATCGGCAGTGAGTAGGTAAATTAAACGTTTCAATGTGGGCTCTGGAGAATGAGGGCCATGGAGGCTGTGGTTGAACAAGGCCTGTATGTGGTTCCATGCTGCAGGCTGCACTAACCTGACGGTGCCTGGGTTGTTCTTCCTCTCTTGCTCCTCACGGCGAGCGTGCATCTGCTGTTGTGCCATGGACATTTCCTCCTCCATGTTTGTGATCTCCTCTTTGGCTCGCCGACGGTTTTCCTGAAAGTCAAATATATATTATTGTGTCAAATATATATTATTACCATAAATATTGGTAATAATATATATTTGACACAATTCTAGTTTAAATTGAGAGTCAGACCGTGATTATATTTTGTGTCAAATTAACCAAAAAATGGAGCCGTGAAACTTAAGAGGAAATAGATTTGTTCTAAAACAAAGATTAAAAAATAAAAAAGACACCTGGGGATTAAAGTGGGCTGCTCTGAAATGAAGATTGGTTGATAAGTATTGTTCTCAGACCATAGGATGCATCTAATTTTCTAATGACTTCAGGACACAATGTATTTCATCTTTTGCCAATGGGAGGTGGATGAAGTTCTTCCACTTAGAATGGCCCATCTTGCAATTAAAAAAGAAAAGATACCACATCATAGAAATTGACAAAATTATGGCACAAATGGCTCAAATTAGAAACAGATCAATCTGAAAATGCAAAACTTCAGGAATAGTCTGAAAGACAGAGTTCCAAAAGTTGGTCAAGGCACTCTATTATAAACTGTATGAATGTATGTTGAGGACACATTGAAGCAGTATGAATTTAGTGAAGAATTGAGTCAGACTTTGGTGGTTTACACAGTTTTCAACATTCTTACCTGTCTACTTTTGCCTGCATGTTTGATGCTGTAAAACATTGGTCCCAGCTCCGCAAGCCACTCCCCATCTACTGCCGTTACGCACTGCATGTATTCCTGAAATAAAAGGATCAAACACGAGTTACCCCTCACCACTGAACAAACTATACGATCACACGAGAATAACGGCAAAGCTCTCACCTTTGTTGTCATCACAAGCTCGTGGTAAATGATGTAGTCAGGGGTGTAGCCCATGCCGAACAGAGAACTGGTGGGATGGAGATGGCACGGCATTCCTGTCCTCACGTTGACATATTCACCAATGCCCTTAAAACACAATAACGCTCAAGGTGAAGTTCAGGAAGAGAAATAGTTTGATAACAATTAAAGTTAATACCTTGAGCTTAGCCGCCTGGTGGAAATAAGCAGCACAGATGCATTTCCTGATTACGTCCCAGTCAGACCCAGAGGAAGCCAAATTCATCCTCTGCTGCACCATGATGTCCTTTAACTGTGAGCGCACTTCCCGCACCTAAACAAAAGCATAAATGACACGTTATGTTGATTTGTTTCTTGTTAATCAGATTATCATTCGATGTTTATTGCAACAAAAAAAGAAATGTATCAATTGAACTTTTGAATTTTCCTTGCTCTTCCTTCCTGGTCAAATTTGAATTATGCAACAATGTGACATGGGAGACATTCAGGCCCGTGACAGTGCGGTGATAACAAGCAGATTGTGATTGTGACGCCTTAAAGCAGAACACTTACGAGCTAATTACATGAATGATCAGTTGAAGAGGCAGCATCTGTGTTGTACTGACCTTTCGCATGGCCTTAGTGTGAATGAAATGCTCGTTGCACCAGATGCCAGAGTAATTATTGTTCTTCCACTGCGTGTATACGTTCAGGTAGGTCAGGTGGTCGCTCTCCGGGACAGCAAACTTTTCCCTGACCTGATCACTCTCCTCCTCACGACCCTAGGACAACAGTAAAACAATTATAACACGTATACGCACATTTGTGTGTACGGATACTGAATCAAATAGTATTCTCCTTCAGTCTACAAGCACGCTCACTAAAAGTTAAAGAGATTTTCTGCCTATGGTGAAATTCAGGTGAAATGAAATAACCCTTTACGCGCTAGGTAAAAAGCCCAGAAACCTTTTAAGAGAGAGGACGAGGAAAATTAATAATATTCAATAACAGAAATGCTTATTCTTACTATTGTTAGCTTTTCAGAATTATCAATTTATTTGTTATGTTTGTGTGGATGGATGTGTTTTAGCTGCAACTGGACACCCAAATTTCTCCTACTTAACTCACTGACTGCCAGGCATTTTCAGATTTGAGAAGTGCATTCTGCCAGCAATTTCAGGTGATTTGACCCAACTTTGAAGTGCCACAGAATATTCATTTTTTAGACGATGTAAACACCAAGGGCACCAAATTAAAGATTAACCTCTCTGCTTTACTCTGAAAAAAACAGTTTGTTTCTACCTCTTACCGTTCTTGCGTTATTTGCCATAGAACAAAGCATACTTTCACCCATAACACCTGGTCTGAGCAAGAAAACAGAGAAAACGAGCTGTATGTAAACAGGAACATATCAAGCAGAAAAGAGACTTTTAGATGCATTTTTGCTGCTTTAGTGACAACTCAAAACATCTTCACACTTGTTCCATTACAAAAATTATAAAAACATGACTCTGAAATAATACTTTTGGTGGAAAATTGTTGGCAATTTATTCACAGATAGAAAATTTAACTTTCTTCTATACCATCAACCAAAACGTCAAACAACAACAACACAAAGATCAATAAAACTATAGATGTATAAAATAGAATGAAGCATGTGAATTTGAGTGTGTGTGTGTGAATGTCAGTGTGCGAGTGAGTGTCTGTGCGAGTGAGTGTCTGTGTGCGTGAGTGAGTGAGTGAGTGCGTGTGAGTGTGTCCGATAAATCATGATCAGGTTCTCTGAACGAATCCGAGGCATCAGTAACAGCAGCAGCTGATACGCTGCGAGAGGCGGAGGGTGTGTCTCTGCTCGGGGCTCTTGCTCCACGCAAATATGGCTGCAAAGACGGACCTCCACCGGGGTCTCCGCTCTCTCCCCTCTCGACCCCACTCACTGATCCGCGAGTCAATCCCTGAAGCAGTGTATACTGCTTATAACTATTCTTTTTCGCCATCACTCTTGCTATACTATCGCTAAACTAGATCGCTGATCCGTCTCAATACTACGCTATCATCGCTCTGCTACAGCAGCACGCTGTCCAAAGACCCCACACTCCTCCTCCTTCTCTCCACTGACTTATGACCTCTCCTGTGGTGCAATACTGCATCCTACTGGTGGTGATTTATCATTACAGGTACATTTGCACTATATATCAGTGTTGTGGGTCATTCACAAGGTGCGCCAGACATTACTGCAGCCTCCCGTGTAATAACACGGAAAACTCGTCATACTCGTCATGGGCAGTGAGCGTCACTATTCAACATGACGAGTTTTGTCGTCATGGGCAGTGAATGAGTTAATTTCGAATTTCTCCTACTTAAAGGTATACAAGAGGATTTTCTACTTCCGGGTGGATCATCAACACTATTGGTCCTCCCAAATGTCAATCATTCTGTTTATACGTCCTTGTCCTATAAGAGCAGAGAGTTTTGTTCAAAAAGTAGAAAGGGCGGTTCTTTCCTAAAATATGGGAAAATCCTCCTTTATACCTTTAATAAAGTATCTATCTATCTATATATTGAAAAAAATATGGGGGGAAGCTTTTGGGGGAAGACAGGTCGCTGTATAAGTGTCCTGGTTGGTTTCAAAAGCTTGTGTAGCAATTATGCTACTTTGACACCAAAAGGGTTACAACAAGGTTTATGGCAAAATTATAAATCCAGCCATCCTCGGTGATGTCAAAATATAAACGGCCAACAATTGATCTGGTTTGAAAAGAGAAATAACCATGCATGCAAGATCGCTAAATATCCATAACTTCATGAGAGCAGTCGTTTTAAAAGCATAACTAGCTTTTGATTAGGACATCATTCTCATAGACAAAACTTTGAAATGTGGAAGAATCATACTTTTGGTCGGTAAAATATGGCAGGCACAGAGAGCATGGACACGATGATGAGGATGTCAGCGCTGCAGCCCATATCACATGACACGATGAGCATTTTGGACAGAGCTGGGTCCAGAGGAAACTCCACCATCAGTCGCCCAGTGGGTGTCAATCCCCCTGAAAGGTGAAACATATACACATGAAGCATTTGTAAAACCAGTGATTCCGTGCAGAGGACTAAATGAAAGGAAGGACTTTAGTGTTTGTGCTTCTCTCCAAAAAAAATGAAAGAATGGTGTGAGGAAAAATAAGTCAAAGAAAAGAGAGTGTAATTTATCCATCACAAAGATCTCTGCTGACACTTGGAATACTCCAGAGGCAAACAACCAAGATCAAAAACTTTCAGGCCTGATTTAAATGATTAGACGCACCTCTAAGAAGCTTACAAGCAGGAAAGGCAGAGGCAGCAGAGTCCGTTTGGAGCAGGTAGGGCTTAATCAGAGATAATCTGCTGTTAACACACCATACAGGGATTCCTCAAAGTCCCTCCTTATACCAAATCCTTAAATCCCAAGGAATCTCGGTGGATGAGACAGAGATGAGACCCAAGCAGTCAAATCAAACGTGGGATCAGTCACTCAGCAATTACCCTACAGGCCCTCCTAGACCGGGCCCCTTTGCCAGCCTCTTTCTGCACTGTAGCTGGTGTATCCCGTATTTAGTAAGTTGCTTCTTACCCGTGTTGTCAAGAGCTCCCAGGATCCAGAGCTGGTACATGGAGTTGAGCATGTTGTCTTCAGGTGGGGGATCCATGAAGTGGAAAAGGAGCAGATCTTGCACACCAAGAGACTTAAGCAGTAGAACCACATTGGCGAGATTGGTCCTCTGAATTTCTGGGATGGTGGTGGTCAACATTTCATTCTTGTAAGCACTCTGCGTATAGAGTCTATGGATGTATAAAGCCACAAACACATTTTAGTTTTCCTTCATTTCTAAACTGATTGAACTTTGATGCAAGAACGCACCTGTAACACTGTCCTGGCCCAGTGCGACCTGCTCTGCCTGAGCGCTGGTTGGCATTGGCCTGGCTGATGGGATAGACTTGAAGCGCATCCATACCAATGCGAGGATTAAACACCTGTGTATATAAACGTTTAGGTCATGCCCTTATCTTTTCGTTATAGTCTTGTGTACTTTGCGATGACCTACCTTTAATTTACAGTAGCCTGAATCAATCACAAACATGATGCCGTCCACGGTGAGAGAGGTCTCTGCAATGTTTGTAGCCACTATACATTTCCTGACGCCATCTGGAGCCTTAAATTATAATTAAAGAAGTTGTATTCAATCAAATGCAAAATCCGCATCATTGTTGTTTAAGAATAGCTCTAGTATGCACTAACCTTTTGGAAGATCTTAGCCTGAAGGTCGGATGGTAACTGCGAGTATATAGGGAGCACGGCCAAAGGAGGAGCATTGTCCAAGTCGCCTAACCTCTCCACGATCTGATCAGATGTGACCTGCAAAAAGAATGGAAGACATTACAATAGATTAAAATAGATTACACTTTGTCATTACAAAGTCAGACCAATGAAACTGAATTAAGTTTAGCATCTAACCAGTGGTGCAATAGCGAAAGTATAGAATAACATTTACAACACAGAAAAAGATATATGCATATATGTGAGACTGTACAAAGCTGCTATTGATAGCTTATATATAAATTATATTACATTACATTAAAGTGCATCTAATGGGCTTTAACGCAGTGAGAGTTCAGGAGTGTGACTGCTGTGATAAAAAACTGTCTCTTATAATAAATCCGATCTCTCTAATAAATATGATCTAAATTCTACCGCACAGCTACGAGTGTCAAAAGTATCACAAAAATGAACCTCAATATCCTCCTGTCCAGGCATAAAGATAAGAATGTCTCCGATCAAGCCACTCAAATGGACTTGCAGCGCCTGTTTCACAGCAGCCTCAACATAGTCTTCTTGCGGAGTCTGAAAAACAACATTAAACCAAAGAGAACCTCATGTGAGCAACAAATGTGTAGGAATAATCCAAGTAATAAAGGGACTAGATGTTGAACCTTGCTGAACAGAATGTCAACTGGAAAAGTTCTTCCTGGAATGTGGAATATTGGAACATTGCCGAAAAACGCAGCAAATTTATCAGAATCCATGGTAGCCGAAGTGACAATTAGTTTCAGGTCTGTGCGTCGCGACACAACCTGTAAGTTTAATAGAGATGAATAAATATGAGAATAATAAATATATAGCAGTGTTGTGTTTAGAGTCAAATGTGTGACCTCTCTTAGCAGCCCAAACAGGACATCGGTGTTCAGGGAGCGCTCGTGGGCCTCGTCCATGATCACGGCGCTGTAGTGATCCAGGTCAGACTCTCGCAGGGACTCTCGCAGCAGAATCCCATCAGTCATGTACTTTATCACAGTGCTCTCAGATGTGCAGTCCTCAAACCGGATGGCATAGCCAACCTGAGAAGAAAAACAAGACAAGTCACTGTGTGTTCTGCAATCAGTCACTAGATGGCAGTGTTTGCTTTTGATTATGAGGTTTGTTGACTTCTAATGATAAATATATATTTGAAAACAAGTTATAGATGCATTTTGTAAAGCTCAAAGTCTCACCTCTTCCCCCAGGTTGGAGGCAATCTCTTCACTCACTCGTTTAGCAACACTCATGGCTGCCACTCTTCTGGGTTGTGTGCATCCCACCATTCCATAGCTTGTATAACCGTCTTCATGCAAGTACTGCGTTAACTGAGTGGTTTTGCCACTTCCAGTCTCCCCAACAACAATGACTATGCTATTATCCCTGCACAGTCACAAGCATCATCATGTCAATGCAATATACAGTACAATAAAGTATTATGTTTACATATTTTGGTTCATACCTAATGATGTTGAGAAGCTGTTGTCTCACTGCAAAAATTGGGAGGTATTGCCTCTGCTCTGTAAGACTTTTCTTCTTTGCAAATTCACTAGTGGCTTCACTCTTTTCTTTCATATGTTCAGCAAACTTCTGCTCCGCTCTGGCAAATGGACACAAAAGGAATATTGATATTTTTTACATCATCATACAGCTTAGAATGGTGTTTTTTAAAATAGTTACAGTTACCTGTAATCTACTTTGCCATCTTCGCCAATGACCTTAGCTCCTGACTCTTCTTCTTCAGTCTTCTTGATGCCCATGATGTCGCCCAGTTTAGTTCCAGCCAACTCCCAGTGTTTGTGTTGTGCCTACAACATAATTGTTGCAATAATATACCTTGTTCTTCCCTGTTTTTGTTTTTGTGTTTTAGATCCAAAGAGTGAGCAGAACATTTGTCATTTTGACATGTTGGTCTATAGCTGAAATGTCAATGACGACTAGCTAACATACTTGGTCATGAATTATTCACAAATGCCAAAGCTGGCATTATCACAGCGACAGGTGCTAACCCACAAAACCTATCAACATTTTGTCAATTGAATCTGTGTTATTTTCCTTGATACAGTTAGTCATTAGAATTAGGTAAATTAAAAGTCTACCGTTTTAACTCTTAACTGCTAAATACTGTATATATTTTGGCTTAAAATGATCAACTCAATTACCTTTTTGCGCTCCTTCTGCTCCCTGTGTTTGCGAACAAGTTGGCTGCCTTTGCGAGAGATGATGGCCATGTCTGAAGTTGCATCTCTCACAGGGATCACTGGCTCAGGCTACAGAGGGAAAATCATTCTCTTTCAAAAAACCAAATGTAAATCTGTGCAGATGTTTATAACACTTAAATCTTACACACCTGTTTGGTGAAGACTATTCTTCCGTCTAAGAAAGGAGGAACCAAGTTGTGCACTTGCAGGTGAACCTTGGCGGCATTATCCTCTTCAAAGTCCTCATCTACTTCCAACCTTTGAACAACACCACTGGTCAGCATTCGGTTGGTCTCCCATCGCTCGTTATCCTGAAACAAGTACCACATCATGCATTGGTCCATCCACAAACACCACAGCTGCACAAGTATTATCTAATCACCTCATTGATCTGTCGTTTTTGGGCAGATATCCTCTTTTGGGTCTGTTTCTGAAGAATCTGCTCCCTTTTCTTTACATATTCGTCTGATGTGGAAGTGAAAGGGTTGTGGAACTCATCGTAACCTTCATCCATCATGTACCAATCTCGATCTGCTTGCTACAAACATATTCCATGTGAGAAAACAGGGCAAAAACAAAGGGATTCTGTTTCGACAATAACTCCTCACCTTCTGATCTTCCTCCCACTGTTCTTCTTCACCTTCATCATCAAATGCCATTCCACCCTCACCCTCTCCTTTTCTTCCTAAAAGCATTGGTGCAACAAGGTGAGCAAAACCCACACAATATACAACCTACAAATCCTTTACCTTTTCCTTGTGATAAACGGGGAGTGGAACCAAAATGCCTCCTGTCATTGGCCCATTCGTTGTACTTGTACGAAGGCGTTGGGAGAGGAGTGTCTTCAGGGTAACGCCCTTTGACCGACCTACATACAGACCAGTCATTACTTTCGGGGTTTATTTGGACATCTTTTAAATCAACATCAATTTTAGAGAATAATACAAAGTACATGTAAGGGTGGGTGATATTGACAAATGAATATAGACTTTGTTTTGATAACAGTATTATGTGAAAGATGTGTCTATATTTTATTCCTGATATCCTTCTAAATGTATTGGTTGAGGTTCAATTGTGCACATGATTGCAATTACATCAACTGTTTTCATGTTTTCATCATGAAAATTCAGGGACAGGGGTCTCCAACTTGTGGCTCGGGAGCAACCAGTAGCTACAGTTAGCTCCCCAAAGAAATCAAGAATTGAACACATGATCCTGAGTAATGATTATGCATGTGTGTTTTCCACAATTTTTTGTAGTTATTATATAGACCACTCTTTTGTAACGTCTGCTAAAGGAGTAGCTCTCTTCCATTATGGTTGTATAAAAGTTCAGTAGCTCTGCAGTGGAAAAAGGTTGGAGACTCATAGTTTAGTATTTAGTACAACTCATAATAGTTCAAAAATACAGCATTATGTCAGTGCAAGATCACCAAAGGCCTGACTGTTTACCTGTCCCTTCTCTCGCTCTCTCGGCCGGATCTCTGGCTTCTTTCGGAGCGATCGGAATCTTTTTGTGAAGGAGCCGGAGAGGGCGACTCCCACTGGGAACGCCGACTGGTGGCATAACCACTGTCCTCCTCCTCCCAGCTGGTCCGGGAAGGTGTGTCTGTTTTTAAGTATATTTTCAAGATTTGTTAATAGAACAAGTAATCATCTTTCATCTTGTTGGGCAGAAGCATTATTTTCTCATTCCAAATAAGACCAGATTAACTTTTTCAAAATGTATATTGACACTTGAAATCAACTCAGGTCGTACAACACACATTTTCACAAGGCCCGAGTCTGCATTGATCTGGCCCCATGAACTTCTTGCTTTGAAGTGCTAACCACTCAGCTGCAGTGCTGCCAGTGTTGATGAGCAAAGAGATGAACACACAAGCCACACAAAGTTGGACTTACCTTTGGAGTGGGACAGCGGAGTCATGGGCTCCTCTCTCCTGATGCCACGGCTGATTCGCTCTGACCATACATCCCTCTGCGAGCGTTCACTGCGGTCCCCACGCTCACTGCGGTCCCCACGTTCACTGCGGTCCCCACGTTCTGAACGTGCACGACTGCTTTCCCGCTCCTCTGAAATACATAATTATGGAGAGAGAAATTAGCATATTCATTAGCTGGGGCAAAATAGGACTTTCTTATGAAGTTTCACACTGTATGATTGACACAGACCACGTTCATTACGCCTGTCCCTGTGCTTGTCTCGACTTCGCTCTCGGCCTTTGCCCGGTTTCCGGTCCTCTTTTGATGAAGCGTAGACACCATGTTCACGGCGTTCTTTTTCTCTCTGCTCGTGTCTGCGGCGGAACTCCTCACTGACTCCCCCAGGGTTGGATGGCGTTTCAGAGCCTGTGGCTCGATACTTTCTGCTGTAAAAAGGAAATAACAAAAAAAAATAAAAGCAACAGAAGTGTTCCATACTAAAAGCGACGAACATCTTTTCACACATATTCATGGATTTAACATTAACCTATTTTTTCCCCCAACATTTTCAGACTTTAAGAATTAGTGTTGTCAGTTCATTTATTTATTCCACAATTCGTTTTTAGCATAGCACTAGTAATGTTCGAAAAACTACAACAGCACTCTGGATGTAGCTAGGCTGGAAACAAAACTAAGAACAAAAGTGTGGCTGCTTCTGCGGCCCCTGAAAAGTGTAGTGTAGGGGACAGTACAGGCCAGAGGACTGATATACAGCAGCACTGGTTAGATGTATGTGTTTGTCCTCATGGTCTCGGTGGGTTTGAGACTTAAAATAAAAATAAAGTCCAGAATCATGGTCAACCCCTATGCGCACTGTTGTGCAAGCCTTTCCACTTCAAAAGACCTGTGCACTGTTTAGGAGATGTACAGCAAGCGATGGAGAAAACAAAAGCAGACGCACTCACTAGTGATTACTGGACTTCCATCAGCAATCAAAACTATTTCTGGGTCACTGCCCAAATCAAGGAACGTTTAGAATAGATACAATTATTCGATTCATTGTGATTTAACAATGACATTAATGCGATAATTTAATCTAATGTCAAACTATGTATGTAATCAGCTGGAGGTACTCAGAGTAAACGATACTGGACGCACTGATCCAGCTTTTTCAAACCCATCGAGGATCTTGATAGTTTGGCTGACGATACCCGATATGAACAATGAACAGATAATAACAATACTTTATCCCTCAAATCACCAACTAGAGTTTTGTTACCTCTGTTTCTCTGGGTCTTTCTTTTGGTCATCATGACTATCATCGTTATCCTCATCTGAACCAGAATCACTTTTGCTTTCGTCCCAGTCTTTGTAAGAAGACACTTTGGATTTCTTCAAGTTTCGCTCTTCATCAGAACCATCAGCCTTTTCCTTTAGATCTCGCTCTTTCCTTTTCTGAGCCGCCAAGAGGTCCAAGCCCAGCAGAGAGGTCCGTGGGGTGGGTGCCCGAAAAACATGACTCTCTGCAGCAGCACTTTTCTTCTTTACAATGAGCCCCCCGACCTGCAAAGACGGGTCTGCACCAGCCAACCTGTGCATGGACACATCCTCCTCTTCCATCGCCTATGCAATAACAAAGCAGATAATTAATACACACATTATACAAGAGGACAGTGATGACAATCCAGGACGTTTTTTATTTAATTACATTTATGGCCCATTAAGGACCAATGGCTCGATATGTTTTTATCATTGCCTTTCTTGTGTTTGAACTGTTTGATTCTCTGTGTTGGTGAATCTACAGCTCCCAGATAAGAACTGTTGAACTGTTTAGCAAAAGAAAAATAAATTGAATAGCATTATAACAGGATATAATATGGTTTGAAAATCAATGAGGACAAGGAGCCTTGCAAAATGCATCATTCATTCTAACATAGTATATATTTTGCAGTTGATTGAAACAGTGACAACTCACAAACAGATTATTGACATCAAAACATTTAGAATTGGTTATATGAATGATATAGTTTGACTGTGTGATAAAGGCCTTAAATAATCTCAGGTCTCATTTTGATGCCGAGTCCAGCTCGTTAGGCTATACTCAGCGGTGAGGTGATTCCAGACAGATGTTTATGGAAATGTGTAGTTAAGTGTAAATGGAATAAAGAATAACAATACAAGAGTTTTCACAAAACATTACAAACAAAACAAATGCCTACCGGTGACTGCACTGTGCAACAACCGATGAAATCTGTCCTCTTGTGGGGTAAAATAAACCAGTCTTCACATCAGTCCGTTCTTTAACAGGGTTTGGATTTGTATAATTATTCAAATACCAGAGGCAAAAATAGCAAGTTAGTTATATTCAGGGAAGCAATATTTCGTAAGAACAACGCGAATGTTTACACCACGGAGGCCGCCATGTCGTCGTCGAGGTAAAGTGTAGAATGTGCTCATAGACGCATTACTGCCCCCGTGTGTTTCAGAGGCTACACTACATTCTGCCCTGCCTCTCGCTGGAACATCACTTTTGCTTCATACAAGTTTGTCCCAAAATAAATAGTATTGCTTAAGCAACATTTAGTGCACAAATCAGAGCATAAAGTGATGTCTTGTTGGAGAAGTTAGAAAATCTTTGCTCTTTTATATACTGAGAGCTGATTGGCTGAATGAGTGAGGGGCCTAAACGTAAATGTGAAAACTTGTAATGTTATGCTCGCCAGAACCCACAGCCCGATATGTGTAAATATGTTTCTATCTAAAACCTAACCCTGTATTGATCCAAGGCAAACAACTTCCCACACCCCGGACACTTTCATTTTTTCCAAACACCTAACCGTTTTTGTAAGAGATCATTACAATACTTGCTTTACCACTGTGGTAAGCAGCATTATCTCGAACATATTCAAAATATGCAGACAATAATCTGATTAGCTACACGAAATCTCTTTAAGATTGCTTAAACAGTCCGACAAAAGATATGTTTGGAATAATCCAAGTATGGCATTCGCACTGTTTTTATAGCTCAAAACATACTGTGAAAAAACGTATAACTTCTAGGAATTCTTCAGAGAACTTTGACCATCGTGTTATCAGCAGCCAGCACATTATGCATACTCTTATCACACAGTCCACCTCCTCAGCACGTGACTATGACAACCATTACATCCATACGCATCACATGTTTTGATTTATAATTAATTTGTATCCATTTTAATTGTGACTTATTTGATAAATGACAGATCCATGTCATAGTCTATATGCTTGTCACCAGCACTCTGGCGACCATCGGGTGGTCTGTTCTGATTGGCTCTGAGGCAGCACCACGCGCTGTGATTGGTCAGTCAGCCGGTCTCAGTGTCGGGATGTTTGATTGGCTGTCTTCTCATGTCTGCTGATGTGTTTTGCTCATGGATCTCCGGCTCCAGTGTCAGTTTCCTAATTCTCATTGACATCGGCGGCATTGCGTGACATTTTGTATATAAACAGTTCTGATTTTATAAACGGAGATTGAAGATACAAGTGTTGAAGACTTGTCTGAGGCTAATCGTTAGCTTTAACCACCGTGCTTAGACTGCTATTAACACCACATTACAATGGTAGAAGAAGCCAACAACAAACTTCTTAACGCAGACGATGGACCTGCATGTGAACAATCTGCTGTAGATGGTGTTAAGTATTACACTTTAGAGGACATAAGGCTCCATAACATGAGCACTGACACATGGCTCATTATCAACGACAAAGTATATGACATCACAAGTTTCCTTGAAGAGGTATGTTATGTGTGTATAATTATATATATGTGTGTGTATATATGTTTTTATGTATGTATGTAGCTATATGCCGGGCTCTTAGCAGAGCTGTTGTAGGAGATCTGAAAGCTACAACCTATATTCAACAACCAACATTTGCCCTCTCATTTTACTTGTAGCATCCTGGTGGTGAAGAGGTTTTACTGGAGCAGGCAGGTTCTGACGCCACAGAGAGTTTTGAAGATGTGGGCCATTCTACTGACGCTAGAGAGATGCTCGAGCAGTACTATGTTGGAGAGCTACACCTGGTAAGGCTTTATTTTCCTCAGTCTGTTTCACTCTTGAGGTGTTTTATGATCAAATATATGAGACACTTCACAATCTAGACTGTGCAAACGCAATTCCATGCAGAAAGTTATTGCACACTTTAATCAGTGTCTTTTTATTCTCTTGTGAATTAATCAATCTACGGGTGCAGTTATTCATTATTATTATTTTGGTGTTGGAGTAATCGATTAATTTATTGCTTTTGATGAAATCAAAAGCTAATCTATTCACTTTAACTTTCCTTTTCTAAGACATCCTCATATGTATCAAATATTAATTTGGAGTTTCTGTATGAATTAAAATGCTATAACTGTTTGTCACAGTAGGTCAAGTGTCATTGCACATATAGATGAACTAAAGTCAGATCATCTGAAATAATAAGATAAGAGAACCTTTATTTGTCCCACGTTGGAGAAGGATGAGTGTCAGTGTGTTAATAAAAGAAGGAAAATTAGCTTTACTGAAAGGTTACGGCTGCTGTGTCAGTGTTATTTTAAATACTATTTTTTTAAAGACTATCAAATAAAGAAATAAACAATAAGACAATTTTCACTGCAGAACGATGCACATTTTGAGAACTTAAGCGTGTTACTGAATGCATGTCATGATTTATTTTCTTTTTTTTAACAGGACGATAGGAAAAAGGAAAAGCCAAAGGTAAGGCCTAATGATCAGTGTTGATTATCACAAATCTCTAAAGTGAGGTAAATGCAAAGGCATTGCAATTAATTGGGTTTGGATCTTATAGGAGGCTAATGTTACGCATCCAGGAGAAAGCAGGTAAGAGGCATGGTAATCATGTATAAGCTTTTTACTTAAAAGATTTGGTTATTGATTCTACATATTTTTTGTGTCTCTTTGTAACAGCGCTTGGTCCAGCTGGTTGATATCTGCTGTTGCTGCTGCTGCTGTCGGTGTGGCGTATCGTTACTTTATATTTGAACACAAGTCTTCCTAAGTTTTGTTGAGTACTTTTCATATTTAGTTTGTTGCATCTGAAGGCCGTGAAATGTTGACCAAAACCTCTTTTGAACGCACAATATTTGTGAACGTCTGTTATTTGCAGGGAAATTGGCAAGTAGTTTTTTCTTTGTTTCTGTCTGTTAAGAGCACTGTGTGACAGCCTGAAGGTCTGACACTTTCTCGTCCCACTCCCATGAAATAATCCTGTCGCTGTCTCAAAACCATTAATCACAAAGGAAGGTTTCTCACCCATCATCTGAACTTCTTAGCAGGTTTTCCCGACGTTTCGTCCTTCATCTAAAGGACTTTTTCAAGGGAATGAAATCTCAGACCACACGTTGGAGATTTATAACCTATGGGTGTGGTTAGACACACCCTAATCCTGATACTAACTCATAAACACATCTAAGGTCTGTTTGATGTAGAAGGGAGCAGGTCTAACAACCCTGCTGCGGCTAACGACCCTAACTCATGAGTTAGGATCGTTGGCCTTTTAGATGAAACCTGCTAAGAAATACAGATGATGAATGAGAAACCTTCCTTTGCTTTGACTAATCCCTGTACGACAAAGAGCTAACACAAACCCATTACTTAGAGCATTATAAACTAAAAGCCATTAATTCCAAACAATCTATTTCGAGTTGTTTTAATTCATCCATGTTATTGCAGCTTGCAAAATTCACGTGGGTATTGTCAGTCTCTTGTCTGGACTCTGTGTGTTTTTAGTGTCATTTATATGGGATGACTCAAAAAAGTCTTATGCATTTAACACTTACTGTTTACTCTATGCTCATAGTAACTATTTATCTGCCTGCAAAATGGTAATGGGTTTATTATTGTTGCTCAGTTATGCATTTTATTTTTCCATTATTTAAATTAGTTTGTAATGCAACAGGCATGGCCAATATTCTGATTACTAGATATATGTATTATATGTATTACTCGACTGACTGCTATAAATAATTTGTTTGTAGAGGTTGAAAAATATAATTTGATTTTATGTTCAGGACTGATACGAATCATAAGTAATCAAAGAGGTCGATAATCGATGCATAGAGTCGATTTACATTTGTAGTAAAAAAAAAAAGGCAAGCTCCAAAACAAATGACTTATGGATGTTATGTGGGTAAGGGCGGATAGATTTTCCAGACCTGTTATTGATATGATTTTATTGAAATGAAGTGTCCTATTTTCTAAGTAAATTTTGACCAAAATAGACTAAACTAATTGGACATTGCATAGTTGAATATTAATTTGACTACAGTTATTCAATAATGTCTTAAAGTAGAATACTGAAGTCTTGTAGGGAAACAAATCTGATATTGGTGCCAAAAATATGCGGTCAACCCCTATTTTTGTGATTTTTTTGTTTGTTTATTTTTTAAAGATCTGTAATGAGTAGATGCATAACTTTTGTGTTTGGATTCGAATACCTGTCAGCTTCGTCCGCTTAAACATCAGCATTTTGTTTAGTCACAGTTAAATACCGTTCAATAGGTATGGTGTCAAAATACACTATTTACGATAAGTGTATATCTATACTTAGATACTTATCGTAGCTCCCCCCTACTCCTCATGAGTTGAATTAAAGATTTATTTGGCTACTTTCGGGAAATATTCACAAATGTGAGCTCGTGCAAGTTTACTGCTGTGTATTCAGCATCTTGTTTTTGCACCAATGTGGCATTGGTGCATCACTACCCAGAGTGTGTCCAGGACAACAGCCTATAGGATTATACGATAGGAGTTATTTATACAAATGACTATACAATACAGATGTTTCAAGTTTCACAATTACTCCTATTAGCCTGGAAATACCCATGCTGCTGTGTGTGCTTGAATCATTGAGTCTGGAGTTAGCCAGGCTAGTTTTTGGAATCTTGAAAGTTACGGTATCATATAATGAATCTAAAAGGATATCTTCAGTTTTAAGTATGATTTAATATTCTGGGCCCCCAAGGTAACTAGCGATTCAAAAGAGGGAGTGCCTGCAGGGGTCGGGACTTTGAGAATCACTGGTTTATATTTATGCAAAGTTCAGCTTATGAAAAATTGAGTTATTTGGACAATTGTTTCATTGAAGTTATTTTAATTATTGTTCAAAACTAGGTTATCAACCCATACGGACTAAAAACATCCAAAAAAAGAGATTGTGACTCAAAATAACTCAAATTTAAGAAAATCAACTAGTTAATTACAATGACAATATTTGAGTAACATCACTTTAGCTTTGTTTTTTTTCTCCAAGTTATCTAATAATTCATTGATTATCCACACATCTTTAATTTCTGCCTTTTAACTTGTGGTTCAGTGTATATTAATGTGCTTAGAATATACATGTTATTTAAAAACCTTTTTATTGAGCTTCACCACCAAATATACTGCTATTTTTGCTATGTTCATTCCACCTGCCATCATTTCTGAATAAATAGAAATAAAGGAGTCTGTAAGCCCTCGTTTTTGACAACACATTAAAACAAATGGATTGTTGCAAAAAGTTGTGAAAAATGTGGTCTTCCAGGACTAGTTTAAAAGCCCTGGTAAAGAGAACAATATATGGTGATTGTTAAAGTGGGAATAGTAAAGGCATTTTCAGTTTCAATGTTTTCCCCCCCATATAAATGTAATACTTAGATCTGAACACAAGATGGCACTGCGACCATGCAATATTTCTGACCCTGCACCATGGATGAGACTTTCTGAATATTAATCCTCAAAGCGAATGGACAAGTGCTAAACGCAGGCGTGTCGTTCAGCGATCAACTTCTTGATTCCATATTTTATTTAGAATCGCAATACATGAATTAGCATCAGATAAATAAAAAAATCCATTAGTAATATGTGGTCAATGTCTTTAATTACTATAACATTGAGAAAATATTGTGAGTGGGCGTTTGTTAAGTAACAATCCAACATCACCCTTTGATCGGACCACTTATTCCATCAGCACAGAACCTCCAGGGCTAGGCTGCTAATGCACAGCACTCCACTGTCCTTGGAGACTGCTGCTGCAAAAATCTCAAGTCTGAAAGAACACTTGTTATGTGACAGTAGTGGACATGAAGAGATTTTACATCCATGGAAGTGACATTTAAAATAATTTTAAGTTGCCAACAGCCCAGTGTTTTTTGGCATGTGATTTATCACTTATATAGCTCAAACTCACTGTCCTGATCAGATTTGTAAAATGGAAAAGATAAATAAAATACAAAAGCGGTGCCACAAATAAGGTACATTAGGGCATTATGCTTTATTTACACAACTATTCAATAACATTAAATGTACATAAATTACACAATTTAAGAGTTTTTTGTTTCATGTATTCAACAATCCCACTGACAGTCATTTCAATCTAGCAGAGCGATTCATGGCCAAATTCCCTTGCTTTTTGATTGCCTGATACATATATTTCAATACAAACTTCTTACACTAAAAGCAACTTTGTGGACAGATGCATGTAAATTATGTGCTTACTAGATCAAAGCATCCTAAGCAGCTGCAGCTGGACTTATCTTCAGCTGCCACAAAAGTAGTGACCTTTTTACATGGCTAACTGCTTAATTACTTCTCTCCTTTGCTCCATTTAAAGGTTAACGCTTCTCAGCAGATACGCCAAGGTCTTAAACGGCAGCATGTTGGAACGACCACAATGTGCTCCTAATCTCACGCTCGGTTTTCTAACCAAATTATCTGTTCCTGGTGAACTTTTAAATGTCTGAAATCCAAATGATAAGTTACATTGACCAAAGCAAAATCTAAAGCAAATAAAACATTGGCTTTACAAAACTATAAAACAACTAAAAAAAGAATTAAGAGGCCATTTACAGTGTGTGTCCAAATATACATGAGTAAAACAACAATAATCCTAGTAAGTTATCCAGACAAAGGAAGGCCAACACGTTCCACTCAACAGAACAGAAACCAAGACTGACTAAGACTAAATAAAAATATAAAAATTGGAAGTATGATGCTTGAAGTTCAACATGTATGTACACATTTCCACGACGTGGCAGCTGATCATTACCCTCCTCAGGTTTGGGGCGCTCTTTTTATGTTTAGGTTCTAAGCCAAAGACAGTAACGTGGTGGTGGATGATACGCTGGCCGAACGCCCATGAACACTGTTATTATTATCAAAAATGTCTGACACAAACTGAATCTGGGAAGTGGAGAAGCACCCAAAGATGTGGGCCAGCTGTGGGCAGAGGGCCAGGATGAGCTTCTGCAGTATGAGGTAGAATTTCCTGCGGAAACTTCGGTTTATCCAGAAATAGAAGATACAGTTGAGAAAGCCATTGGAGGTTGGCAGCCACACCACAACAAATTCTGCCCACTCCGGTACACTCCTTCCAGAGACTGCTGCAAGGCAGACAGAAAAGAGATGATAATTTACCCCACAGAGGCTGAGGATGTTCCTCACATTCATATTATAAAAATATATATCCGTTGGGGGATCCGTTCTTTCTATGGGAAAGAAGCAGTTTGTTGAGATGTTAAAACTTCCAATATTTCCCCAGATCATTTGAAAGTCCTTTGGACTGGCAAACATGTAAATGTTTATTTGAACATTGTTACCACTCCAAGACACCTTTCTGAGTTTCCAGGAAAGATTTTGAGATGACCTGCAACAAACTTTAAAACCATAAAAAGGTTCTTATAGGGATTGACCGCCAATGCAGTGACAGAAAATAACTTAACACAGTAAAACCCAAGTATCTTGATAGTTTTCAGTTATTTGTTCAAGCATGGTTAGCTTCTAACATTATGACATTAGCTGAAGCGATGTTCAGTAGCAGATATATTTATATCACACGTATCGTCCTACAGGGTGATCGGCTAAAACTCGTGAAACATGGAGGGTCAAAAGCAATGGTAATTAGGGTCATATAGACATCAGGTATAATTTGTAGGAGAAAGGAATACTGGAATGGCAAACTGACATATTACCCTGAAAAGCCTGTCATATGTGCTGAGAAAGTGACAATGAGACGGGTCACCTCAAATAAGTAAAATTAAGAAATTTGGTGGGGCATGGGCATAGTTTGGAAATTTAGAGCTGGGCTACCCAACTTCTGAAACCACAGCAAATGGAAATATGTAATATCAAGCCAACTCAAAACTAACTCAAATCTTCACACAGAAAAGTGAAAAAGAGGACCACTCACCCATGCAGCTATCAGCCTAAAATGTAAGATAGTGACTCACAGGGCTCTTTCTTGCAAGTATGCAAAGGATTACTTGTTTCTAACAAAACGGTAATAAGGTAATTTTAAGGCCATTTAATAATAATAAATCGGTTTAATATGGCGCTTTACAGAACACAAAGACGCTACACCTGTCATTATTCTTTCACTCCTACAGTGATAAACTATTTTAGCCACAGCTGCCCTGACAGAAGCGAGGCAACAAGTATGCGCCATCACCCCCTCTGACCACCACTAACAATTCACACACACACCAGACTAATTCTCGACAATGCGGATGAAATGTCTTGTCTAAGGACACAACGACTGTTTGCCAATTTACAGCCCCACTGTGGCACCTGGTGTTCTCAGAGGTCTCCCATCACAGTACTTACCAGGCCGTCCCATGTACAGCTTCAGATGTCTGACGGACATGGCTTTCACATGCAATTCCTCTGCATTACAAATTGTATCTAATATAAACTGATTCTCGCTGCCAATATCTTGCAATCCCTTAGAAAAATAGACATTTCCAACATTTAATGGGAAATATGGACATCTTCCTATTTCATCAGAATATTAAAATCACGAAACAGCCTAGGGTCGCTTACATAATAATAATAACATACCATTGTAGATCATAGCGGCCATACATGGTGTCCAGCACGTGTAGTAGGCTGCCATCACCGGAACCAGCACCCTGGCCGCCACATTGGGCCTGTTGCGGCGCGCACAGTCATATTTACGCAGTTTTAGGCGCTGTCTCTTGGCTGCACACCACACTCTCAGATTGCAGTAAGTCATAATAATAGAACAAGGGAAAAATATCAAACTGGTCAAGCTGAGGGAGTAGAGGACATTTGTGGAGTAGGAGGGATTGCACACCAGTGATGCTGTAGAAAAGTGCACTTGAATGATGTCTGTTGGCAGTGAGATCGGGAGCAGTATGAACGGGGGGAAGAACCACGAAAAGGCTATGAGCAACAACGTCCTTTTCCTTGTCAAAATGGCGCATGCTTTGAGCGGGTAAAACACGGCTACGTATCTCTCCAGGCTGATGGTCGCCAGTGTGTACATGCAGGTGGAGTAGACGGTGGCGTTGCAGAAGGCTACCACGTGACACAGCGCGTCGGGGCCATGTTTGTAGTCCTTGACCAGACTCACCCACAGGTTCAGGGGCATGACCAGCAGGCCAAACGCCGAGTCTGCAGCAGTGAGGGACAGCAGCAGGTACCGGGAGTTTCTCGACCACCCGGTGACAGAAGAGGAGATGACCAGGAGAACTGCAATATTCCCCAGAGTTATCAGCACGCCCAGGACCACTATGATGCACACTTTGGCCGCGCGGTGAGTGAGCTCCACGGGCCTCCCTGTGTCTAATGTGCTGCTGGTTGTGTTGGAATCAGGAAGACTTGAGAAGTTGAAGTTTTGATTCATCTTTTTTAAACTCATAAAGCCATCAGGGTGACCAGATCGTTAGCTAAACATCAGGAGCGGCACCGATAGCGCCATTATCCACTGCAGCCAGATCAGCTTCACACCTGTGCCAATCAGAGCTGGGTGCCTCAAACACGTACAAGTCAAATATATCATCTCCCTGAGCTCGAACTAGAAAACATGCTTGAATTCACTTCTTTTTACTTTCAATGTGTGGCACAACTGGGGTGTAACTTTCAAACCTCAATATCAGAACTTTCTAATTCAGTGGTTCTCAAAATGGGGTACGCGTACGGCTCCCTCTAGGGTACGCCAAAGAATCACTGAATGATTATAATTTTTATTTTTTATTTTTTTTTATTTAACCAGGGAAGTGTCATTGACATCAATTGACTTCAACATTGTTTTTCAATCTTTTCCTGTCCATCTGTGTCTGTGTATCATATATGTCTCAGGTTTGGCTGTAGACAGTATTTTATTAAGCCAGCAGGTGGCAGCAGAGCTCTGTGGTGTCTTGGTCAAAGATCACTGCCTGAGCACTCTGAGTAGGAGAGACAGAAGTGAAGCTGGCATGGAGTAATATAGTCAGAGTCAGAATACATTTGGAGACAGTTTGAGCAGTAATTGCGTCTCCAGAGCTGACACAGACCATGTGGGACGCACATACATACGTGCACAAATACACAAAGACACACAACAGTATTCTATTGCAATTATACTATCAGTATATTGTCTGTTCACTTTGATTTATTGTCATTTATAGTGTTTATCATTGCAATTTTGCGTATCTCTGATTTACTCTTATTGACATAAATATAGTGCCACCTAAAGGATGAATACTCGCCATTCTTTCTGCCATTGTTTGTCATGGGCTCTACTTTCAATATGTACATTTTGACGTTTTTTGGATGAGTACATTTTGAAATATTCGAGCAAGACTTCGTGTAAGACTCTGGACATATTTGAGGAGATGGTAAAGTTAAACTAAATAATGTTACAGTCACTTTTCTGCAGGTTTGTCTGTTTTCACAAACACCTCATTTTCTCAGCTTTTTGTCTTAAGACTGGTGCTTTTTGTCACACTCCCCTCTTTTTGACTAGAGATCACAGGAGAATGAAACAAGCTAAAAACAAACTTATTTTTGCTGCTGAAAGTAGACAGTCCTGTCTTTCAGTCTCTGCTTTTGTATTTGTCATACTCATAGCACACAAAATTCTGTGAGTCTTGAAAATCAATGAAGTCATCAAAAATGGCTGGCAGTCAATGAGAACCTCTTTTTCTTTTCTTTTTTCTTTTTTTTTTTTTTTATTTAAACAAAACAACATGAACATACATACATGGGGGGGAAGGGGGGGGGTCTTCCATGTTTGTGCGTGTGTGTGTGTGTGTGTGTGTGTGTCTGTGTGTTACTTATTATTTACTTTATATTTTTATAATAGAAAAAACAAAACAAACAAAAAAAACAAAGACAATTAAAATATATATATATATATACAAAACTTCTTTTTTTTTTTTTTTTTTTTTTTTTTTTTATAACAGCAATAGCGACAATGGCGATGATGAAGATAATAATTATGACCATACTAGCGTCCTTAACAGTATCATTATTACTGGCACTCTTCCGACAGCTTTCCTCAATAGTTTGTCTGTGATTGTGTGGTGTATTAAAAAGAAAAATATCTGCGTGAGGTGTTGTGCATTAAAAAGGCATGTGCCTGGGATGCTTGTGGGAGGAGTCCATATATATATCATACAATGTGTATTAATTAAATTAAACAATATTACTTATTATTGTTGCTTCCTCACCATCACCGTTCCCCATTGCTTATTCTACATATTCAAATATGATATATCTTGTATGTGTAAATACTAATTATATAATTTATAATATTAATAGTTAAGCAGAAACTATACGAACAAAAAAAAAAAAAATAATAATAATAATAATAATAATAAAATAAAAAACAATAAAAATAATAACACAAGTGAGCAAAAATAAAGAGAGAAAAAAATAAGATAAATCCACAATAATAATCATTATAACAATAATATATAATAATAATATGAAAACTAAATTAACATTAAAATAAAAATAGAAAATAAAAAATAAAAGTAATAATAATAATCATAACAATTCAAATTATCGTAACAATAATAATAACAGTGACAATGCAATTAGTTAATTTGTAAGATAAAGTATGAGTTTGTTTGTTTGTTTGAGAACCTCTTTTTCAAGGGAGTCCTGTACAAAAATTACATACAATTACATAAAATTACTGATTATGAAAACAGTTACATTTCACTGAAGATGTCTCAAGTGCTCTCAATCTGGATCTAAAAGCATTCAATGACATACAGTCAGATCATTTCCAATCTTTTTGCAACACGTTCCATGTAGAAGGAGCAGCATATACAAAAGCTTCTTTAGAAATGAAACCTCTGCCTTGTTTTTGATGAATCCATCCATCCATCCATCCATTTTCTGATTTTGATGAATACTTAGGCTTATTACGCTACTATGTGGTATTGGTCATTTGTGGTGGTACTTGGAGAGGCAAGCATTTTCTGAGGGGGTACTTTGTGTAAAAAGTTTGAGAACCACTGTTCTAATTAATTCCTGGATCTAACACAGGCGTGTCAAACTCATTTTGGCTGACGGCCGCATTAAAACATAAGGGCTGGTCGCGGGCCGAAAGAATAAAAGTAATTTTCCTTTATTATACATATTTTTCACATTATGACATTATCTTTATAAATTTCTTTTCACATTAGTTATATTGGATATTCTTTTCTGACTAAAATTAGTTCAGTTACTGTGGACTGAACCAAAATTGGACCAAATGAATTAGAAGAGATGTAATTGAAATAATATACTTAACAATATAACTTCTGTATACAATGGTGGCTTAACATTTGTTATTCAATCTAATTATATTGTTGTTTTCTTGTAAATTTGATTAAAAAATAATTGATGTATAACATGCCATTGTATCCCATTACCATCCATGCTGCAGTTTAATATCATAATTATCATAATATCATTGGACCCAATCAAAGTTTGACATGCCTGGTCCAACAAAATACAATTTCCTTTTAAGAAAATATCTTTCTACTGAAACTTTCATCATTGAGAGACTTGTTGTTTTGTTACCATTTGTTGTGTCTTGACTGAAAAATGTGGAATTTGTCTTACTGAATATTTGACGTGGCGTTGCCATGTTTTACCAACTTTGAAAGCGTCTTTAATCAAGAGTAAAGTTAAAGTTAAATGAAGAGATGAAGCATTGCTCAATCATCAATGTTGATAGTAGCTAGTTGATATTGCAATTTCGTTACTCAGTAGTGTATAGCCACGTTCAGACCGGATCATGCGTTGCGTTGACTTTAAATGCAAAGTCAATGGTGACGTGTGTTCGAGCGTGGAATTGCATGTGCGTCTCGGGATGCACGCACAGACTGTGAGGTAGAGATTCACGGACTGCGCCGCAAAAGCGCGGCAGAGGCGCAGGAGCGGATAATTTTTAAAGGTTCTATTAATGGTTTTTAAATGTCTTAATGGTCTAGGGCCTTCTTATCTTTCAGAATTGCTTTTATCCTATGAACCTTCCCGACCCCTGCGCTCCTCCGGCAGCAGACTCCTAACCATTCCCAAAGTCAGGACACACACACATGGTGAGGCTTCGGTTTTGGGGGGGGGTCTATGGGGGGGTAGGGTTTAGGGCTGGGCATGTTGGATTGTTTTTAACTAAACTGTAAAACACTTTGTGTTGCATTTTTTGTATGAAAAGTGCTTTATAAATAACATTTTATTGATTGATTGAAATATTGCTGAGCGTTTCCTCAGGAAGCTCGTGCAGCGGCCAATCAGAGAGCCGCAATGTGGTCACGGGGACATTAGTGGTCTAAGCGAGCAGACTGAACATACTGTAAACAGCCAAAACAGGAGCTACACCAGGACTAAACCAGGGTTGACAATGGGGGACTGTGTGCTTGTGAACACATGCGTTTTCATGCTCCCGTGACTTTATGCAACTGCTTCAAGCGTGTTCGCAGATGCGGAAGTACCGTTTAATGATAAAATAAACGGATGACGCACCTCCATGAGTATACTGCTGTTATATAAAGCCTCTGGAAGGTCTCTGGACACAGAGACGCTGCAGAGCTGCATTATTGGAGAAGAACTTTACACAAAAAGTCGCTAGCTTAACCCCGTTAGCAACAAAGTCCGCCCGCTACTTCCGTTTCGAGAGGCAAGAAGATGCTATACATCAGCATTGAATAATTTTTAATCCAGGTCCACCCTCGTCGGCCGGGGTGGTAAAGCGTGTCAGCGCACGTCATTTTGGACATTTTTGAGCCGGGAACCGCCCCCACTGGTTGAAATAAAAGGGTTCAGTGTGTTGTGCCGTGTATATAAAACAAGTTAAAGCAGTGTAGTTAAAACAATCTGTGATCAACAATCATTTATATGATTGCAGGTGAATGATTGTTTTAACACAAACGAAAGAGAGGCATTTAAACTTTATTGTGACTTTATTGTGTGTGTCAGTGTGAGAGACACACACGCACTCATTCAGTATTTATCTTGGCTCTGAAGCCCCGATCTGATCTTGAGCTGCCGCCGTGTCCATGTTGAGTCCAGGGATTTTTCTCCGGCCAGTTGTCAGCTTTCTGTTCTCATTTGAAATCCAGGCGATCTTGGAGTTTTGTTGAATACACATATCTACAATAACATGACCCAGATTTGGTGAAATACAAATATGACTGAACTAATTTTTTAAATGATAAATCTACCAGAAACCGTTATCCAAACTCATGTTATAAGAAATGAGTCTTGGTCAAAATAATTCATAATTTGATCAAGTGAATAATAATGCCAATGTAAAAGATCAGTTACAAACAAACTTGTCTACCAAGAAAACATCTGCTGTACTCTAAAAGTACAGCAGAGTCTAAAATGTTTCAATCAGCTCTCATTTTATGAATTAGACAATTTTAA